TTCAATATTGCAGGCCCGAGATTTTCTATCCAAGCTTGGTGATCTAAGCCAAACTCAAATCTTTGCAAAAATTGAAAATGTTGAGGTGAATCTAATAACTTCCATATCTCACAAAGATAGGAACTTGTCAACACATCATGAATGAGCTGAAAAAGTCGTTTAATACGACTCGCCTATTTTTGCAGGGGTTGACCCACTTTGACGAGATTCTAAAGGAGGCAGATGGTATTATCCTATCACGTGGGAATCTTGGCATAGATCTTCCACCCGAGAAGGTTAGTTGTGTTATGGGTCTTGCCCAGAGCTGTTAAAGCTCGTTTCGTTAACATTTTACAGTGAATATTGCTAACATTTTTCTCTATTCGTATGTATTCTTGTTTAGAGTGAATATTGCCAACACTTTTCTCTATTTGCAGGTATTCTTGTTTCAGAAGTCTGCTGTTTACAAATGTAACATGGCTGGAAAGCCAGCAGTTGTGACTCGTGTGGTTGATAGTATGACTGACAATCTCAGGCCTACGCGTGCAGAGGCAACTGATGTTGCTAATGCCGTCTTGGATGGTTAGTGGCTTTCCATTAGTAATCAATCAACTCGAGCTAATTTTATACAAATTTGTTTGAGTTTTGATTAGACCTTTTGGTTATTAAATTTGAGAAAGTTGGTTGGGTTAGGTTTGAGCAGCATTTTGAGTTTGTATTGAAATAATATTTAAAATAAAATAATTAAAGTTTAGTTGATGTAAAAGTAGGAGAGAGATGATGTGAAGTGATTGTTAGTTAAAATTATATGAATGGATGAATAATGAATTAAAGTTGATCATGATGCGTGTGGATGATTGATTGATATTATTTAATTATGTTGATAATATTGAAGAGAATGAAGTTGAGTTAAAGTTTAGTTAGATTTTGAGTTTAAAAAAAAAGTGTGGTGAAAATTGATTAGATAAATTTGTATCCAACGCAAGCACGTGACGTAATTTCTCGGATATTACGTTTATGGTTTGTCTTGTTTAGGTTATTGATTAAACCTATGAGTCACTAGTGAAAATTCCATTTTGTGCATTTTAGGATGTGATGCAATTCTTCTTGGTGCTGAAACCTTACGTGGATTGTACCCAGTTGAAACTATCTCCACTGTTGGCAAAATTTGTGCAGAGGTTAGTCATTTTTTGCTGAATGCAAATTTTAATCAGTTCTGATGATCTTATAGTCATATGCTAATTTTCTTCTTCAAAATGCGTTTGAGACTTTTTTCACACATAATGCTAAATGTAAGTGCAAATCGTCCCTATTATTTTTCACAGGCAGAAAAGGTCTTCAATCAAGATCAATACTTCAAGAAGACGGTGAAATTTGTCGGAGAACCTATGACTCACTTGGAATCTATTGCTTCATCCGCGGTACGCTGCAAGAAAGAATAATGAAATAATTTGATATAACAAAATAAAATAAAATAAGATAAATAAAAGCAAATAAATTGAACTAAGAGCAGATTTTGGTCCGTTTAGGTTCGTGCTGCCCTTAAAGTGAAGGCATCTGTCATTATATGCTTTACATCGTCTGGAAGAGCAGCAAGGTTTTATACCAATTTTTCAAGTGTTTTTTTTTTTTTTTCAGATTAGTTGCTAAAATTATACCAATTTTAACACGAATTTTAATGTTCTTCTGCTTGGTGCAGGTTGATAGCGAAATATAGGCCAACAATGCCTGTTTTATCTGTTGTGATCCCTCGACTGAAGACCAATCAACTGAAGTGGAGTTTTAGTGGTGCATTTGAGGTTAGCCCTCAACCATAATTAAGATTTTATATTTTTATGTAAAATTTGGTCTTACTGTAATTTTTTTAGTCTGGATTCGTTCTTCTGGTTCTCAATTGTTTAACCGATTAACCATAATGTAAATTTTTTATTTATTTATTTTTATTTTTGAAGAAACTTATGGTTTTTTTCTGCATGTCCTCAGGCAAGGCAATCGCTTATAGTACGTGGATTGTTCCCCTTGCTTGCCGATCCTCGTCATCCGGTAAGTTATTTACTTCATTTTTCGGCTACTGTATTTGCAGTATAAAGGTGAGAAGGAGGCAAAATGAAAAAAATAAAAATAAATAAAAAAATCACTGAGATTACACGACACAAAACACGTACACACGAAGAAGTAAAACGTGAACTATCCAAGAAAAGGTGCTTGTAATACCCTAACCGGGATTTCGTTGTAATTACGAAGGAATTTCATTTTTGACTGCTACCTAATCTATTCACCGATTTTTATTTATATATTCATCTATTTTTTTTACAGGCTGAGTCTACAAATGCGACTAACGAGTCGGTTCTAAAGGTTGCACTCGATCATGGGAAGCGCTCGGGTGTGATCAAGTCTCACGATCGTGTAGTTGTTTGCCAGAAAGTCGGAGATGCATCTGTTGTCAAGATTATCGAGCTCGAAGATTAAAACCAAGAGCATAAAAAGTTAAATCACCCCTTTCTTTCTCTTCTTCCTTTTCTTTTTCTTTTTCCTTTTTTTTTTAGCCTATGGGTGAAATGTGACTGGAAAATAAGCATTTGTGTAGTGCTACCGTGAATTTTGACCTAGAATTTATATGGCTATTATTAACAAATCTATCTTATTTTGGGCATGGCCCTTCCTTTTGGTTCCATTATTAACTATTTTTTGTCTAGTTTTAGAGCTGTTAGCACATGTAACTCATGTGTTTAAATCAAGTGCAAGTCTTTTGACAAGAGACAGGTGATGTAAACTCTCAACAATGAGAAAAAAAAAAGGAGAGAAGAAATTAAGGGCAAAATTAGAAAAAAGAAGAGCATTTGTGTAGTGGTACCATGAATTTATATGGATATTAACAAATCTATCTTATTTTGGGCATGACCCTTTTGTTCCTTTTGGTTCCATTATTAGCAGAAATATTATGGAGCTAATGGTTGGCTCCTTTATAGAGCCAACCACTAATGTTATAGTGCCACGTAGGTCATGTGGAGTTAATTATTTTTTCACATGGCCTACGTGGCACTATAACATTGGTGGTTGACTCCATAGCATTTCTCCCATTATTAGTGCTTGTTTGGGAGCACTTCTGAAAAAGTCTATTGAAGATATGGACTTATCCAAAATTGACTTCTCCAAAAGTCTCTATCATTTACTTTTATAGAATGGATTTTTTGAAAAAACAACTTATCCATAATTCCATTATTAATTTAGCACCAAACATAAATATTTATCCAAATGGACTTTTGCAACCAAAAAGTCTAGTTGAAAAGTATTTCCAAATAAGCTCTAAGACCTTTTGTCTATTTAGAGCAGTTAGCACATGTAAATCATGGGTTTAAATCAAGTGCAAGTCTTTTGACGAGAGGTGATGTAAACCAGTACCACTACCGTGTGCCCTGGCACACCTAGCTAGGTGTGCCAGGGCAGATTCACACGCGCCCCTTCACCCCAAAAAACTAGAAAATTTAGAGAGTGTAGTGCACATTCCCATTTTTCCTTTTTTAATTAAAAATGAGACATATTACATAAATTAAAATATCGTTAATTATTTATATTAAAAAAATAAAATAAAAATACCAAAATTCATAATTTTTCATTATCTATAAATAGAGACCACATTTGATAGGTTTTTGAGCACAACTAATTTTTCGTTTTTTCGTAATTATTTTATTATACTGACATATAATGAACATATTACATAACAAGATGAATATGTTTTCAAATAAGATGAACATGTTACAGATTGCAGATTGAAATAATACATATTCATCTTATTTTGTAACATGTTCATCTCATTTTGGTAACATATTCATCTTATTTTATAACATAATCACCTTATTGTGTATGTAACATGTTCATCTTATTCTATAACATGTTCATTTTATTATGTAACATGTTCATCTTATTCTATAACATGTTCATTTTATTATGTAACATGTTCACCTTATTGTGTATGTAACATGTTCATCTTATTCTATTACATGTTCATTTTGTTATGTAACATGTTCATCTTATTCTATAACATGTTCATTTTATTACGTAACATGTTACCTTATTGTGTATGTAACATGTTCATCTTATTCTGTAACATGTTCATTTTATTATGTAACCTGTTCATCTAATTTTCATCTGTGAAAATGTAACATCTTCATCTTATTCTATGACATGTTCATCTTACTCTATAACATGTTCATCTTACTATGTAACATATTCATCTAATTATATATTTGCGTTATAATCTTCCAATAAGATAAATTAAATGTAAAAAATGATAAATTAATTGTGTTCCAAAAAATATCAAATGTGGTCTCTATTTGTAGAGAATGAAAAATTATGAATTTTGGTATTTTTATTTTTATTTTTTGATACAAAATATGGATGATAATTTAATTTATATAATATGATATATGAAATTCATTACCCAATAGAAATGGGACACATGTCCCATTTTAAAAAAAAAAAAAACTCTACCTCCTTACCTCACGCGCTTTTGAAGGAGCTGTATTTCACAAAAGGCCCTGGCACACCTAAGTATTTGCGGATGTAAACTCCCAAAAAAATGTTGAAAAAAAAAACAATTAAACTTTTCAATACATAATGTAGTTTGTTATTCACAAAATGCAATTTTCAAAACATTTGAGTTGTATACACTTCATTTATGTACTATTGCATCTAAGAACCAAGGTTTTGACTAGACATTATAATCCACACTTACTATATGCACCCCCTGAAAATTAAATTAGCGGAATTTTAATCCTTAAATAACATAAAAGTCAAGAATGGGGATATATAAAATTAGCAAAATAAAATTGTAAGTTGAAGACTGTATGCAAATTTCATACTTTCTGAGATATAGAGATTTGAGGGAAGCTTGATAAAAATAATGTCAAATTTCTTTTCGTCATTTATAATTTCGGGTCCCAAAAAATGAGTTAAATACGGGCTGGCTATGAATGAAAAAGTCTTACCAATTTGGAACCCAAAATATAATAGGAAATTTTCACCTATGCTATTCGTTTCTAAAATAATTGCTGATTTACCACTCAATCTAATTTATTTGTCTCTAAAATAATTGCTGATTTACCACTCAATCTAATTTATTTGTGTATATACCTAAAATATAGAAAGTAATTAAAATCTTGCCTAAATAACAGTTACACGAGATATACCAACTTTCCATGTTTGTAGGGCATAATTTCAGGTATCAAGATGGAAGAATATCACGTTTGAATTTTAATTGAGATACGGACGGTACAAAAAGAAAGAGAACACGCCGGCGAGCAGACATTTTCCGGAAAAACTCGACCGACGTTCTTCATCCATTGAAAAAAAAAAAAACGCTTGCTTTTTTCAATCGATTGTCTCCGACAAAAGATTTGCATTAAGAGGTTAAAAGTAATTGCGGTGTCGATCAAATCCTGCGGCGAGCACTCAACAACCGAACAACACTCAAGAACAAATACATACAGGCCAAAAGATTGGGAGGTATATTTTTTTTTTTTGGGTGTTAAAAATCTGTGCCGAGCAATCATCAACCTGGCGTGTTTTGAATATTTTGTTACTGATTTCGTCCCCCTTTTTTATTTTTTTTTTTTCACCAGATGGATCCGAATATGATGATTTTCATACATCATGGGGGTGAATGGGTGATGAATGAGTACGTGAATTACCAACTATCTGGTATTTTGGTTCGGAAAGAAGGCAGCTTCAACTAATTTTGCGGTATATTATGTGAGGAGCTCGGGTTGATACGTCAATCATCTGTGCTTGATCTAAAATATAAGCTGAAAGAAGGTAGTCCACTAATTTCGATAAACAGCGATAGGAGCCTTAGCTTCTATGTATTTTTGGTGTCCAAAGAAGATGACTATGCAAAATATCCGGTGTGCGTTGTGGTGAAATCTCGGAGTACTGTTGAAAATTTGTTTGATGAAGAAGTGAATATAGGGTCTGTGAATGGCGAAATCAGACATTGCTCCACTGTGTTATCCGGAACTTGACAGGCAACATGATAGATCAGATGGCACGATAAATTTCATGTCGTTCGCAAGGAACGTGGCTGCAGAGATGGTAGAAGTGGCAGCATCTACCGAAAATATACTTGACATATACCCAGGTTCTGAAATGCGGTTGACAGCCGAGGAAAATTTTGACTCTGGTATTGTTGCTGGTCTCTTACTAAAGGATAAGGAAACGTTACAAACAATGTTGACCATGCATGCACTAAAGCATCAGTATCAATTCAAGGTTGACAAGTCATGCTCAAAACAATATTATGTCAGGTGTGTATCGAATGATTAGTATCCTGGTATATTTAAACTATATTCTGTAATATTTGACTTATATTTTGATATATGTAACACTTTTAATATTTTGTCAGGTGTGTCTCGAGCGAGTGTACATGGTTTGTGAAAGCTTCCCGTATGGGTCGGTCAAACACTTTTAAGATAAGAGACGTGGGGACTGGACATATATGTGGTTTGGATGTCCGTACTAGTAATCAGAGACAGGCGACATCAACACTAGTTAGTAGTTTCATCAAGATAAAATTCACAAACAATAAAACTGCATATAATCCGGGTGATATCATTGACGACATGCAAAATCGGTTTGGGATAAACTTGACATATCACAAAGCATGGAGGTCGAAACGTAAAGCTGTTGATGAAGTTCGTGGCAAGGTTGATGAGTCATACAATTATGCTCATCAATATCTTAGTAACGTACGTGCATCAAACCCGGGTAGCAATGTGATGATGCGCACCACATGGGATAAGAATTTCATGTATGTTTTCATGTCACTCGGTGCATCTGTCAAAGGGTGGGTACATTGTCGGCCAATTGTTATTGTCGATGGGACATTTTTGACGTCGGTATATGGAGGAATTTTATTGACAGCCTCTTGTCAAGATGCAAATTCTCATATATTACCGCTTGCATTTAGCGTTGTTGACTCCGAAAATAACAATTCCTACCTCTGGTTTTTCACAAAATTGCATGAAGTAGTTGGTGATAGGGACGGTCTTTGCATTGTTTCGGATGGTCACGGAAGCATAAGGCACGCAGTAGAAAAGGTACCATTATATTTCTAGTAACAATTTAGTATTTATTCTGCAGAATATACTTTCTTCTCCAGTTGACTCTTTTTTTCTTGAAATATAAAATGTTCCCAGCGGTTAGTATATTTTTGGTAACAGTTGGGCATTATTTCTATGATTTATGATATATTGGCAATGCACAGTTAAGTATTATATTTTTTTAGTAACAGTTATATTTCTAGTAAACAATTAAGTATTGAAAAGGTATATTTCTAGTAACAATTATATAATATATACACGTTTAGAAAAGGTGGTATTATATGTCTAGTAACAATTAAATAGTTATTCGGCAAAATATAATTTTTTCTCCAGTTGATTTTTTTTTTATTTTTTTTTGAAATATAACTTGTTCCCAGCTATTAGTATATTTTTGGTAACAGTTTTGCATTATTTTTCATGATATATAATATATCAGCCATTTGCTTGGTTATATCTAATTTATTTAGGTATTCCCTAATGCGGCGCATTGTTTGTGCACCTATCACATCTCAAACAAATTGAAGATGCGTTATAAGACGGAATCACAGGCAGTAAAAGAGGAGTTTTATGCAGCAGCAAGGGCCTATACGGAAGAGGAATTCAATAAGCATATAGCACAGATAAATAAGCTGAATCCAAATGTGGTACCATATCTAGAAGAAATTGGATTTCACAAGTGGGCAAGAGTTCATTGTCCAAATAATAGATATTTTACCATGACATCTAACGCTGCTGAGTCAGTAAATGCTGCCATACGATCCATCCGTGATCTACCGATAACTCCACTACTAGAGGC